TGCGCAGCACATGGCAGTGGCACTGCCCGCGCTGTCCCCACAGCGCTGAGCCTGATGGCGCTGCCCTGCGCTGTTCCCATGGCACTGACGCTGATGGCACAGCCTCGTTCTGTCCCCTAGCATTGCCTCTGATAGCCCTGACTGCTCTGTCCCTCATGGCACTGCCTGTTCTGTCCTCACCAATGGCTCTGACCCCAAGAGCGCTGTCCTGCTCTGCCCTCCTTGTCACTGGCCCAGTGTCACACACCCTGCTCTGTTCTGTGCCCAGGGAGGCCACGGGTGATGGCACAACCAGGCCAGGCCAGGTGGATGCTACGTCAGCAGCTGCGGGAAAGCTTAAGTGTCTAGTTGAATCCCTTCTGTCTTTTTGTCTCACAGAGTGCCTCCCTCCACCCATGATGCTTGATTAAGGCTCCATGAACAACTGCAAGAAGGGTAAAAGGCACTGCAAAGCTGCACCCAAGTTAATACCTCCAACGACGCACTCTGGGACTCTTAGCACAGCCACCCCTGTGACATACACATACAAAGCATTTACCACCCAGGCCACATCCCTGACACATCTTCCCCAATATCACCACTTGAAGCTTGTAAAAAGCTCTGGACACCATGGCACAGGGGTCACACATGTCTGTTTCTTACAGTGCACCTTCTGAAGCCAGTGGCCAAATCTTGCCTGCTTTACCCCTAACCTCCTCCTCACTCCACTTTGGTCAACTTTGCCAGCATAGCGGGATCCAGAGAGTTAGTATGCATTTGTGCTCACCCTGAGTCCCAGAATGAACTAGGAGCAGGAAAGATGGGGAGGCAGCACCAGGGATGTGCTAAGATGGGGTGTGCTGTGCCCTCCCACTGCCCCAGGGTCCTGATGGAAAAAATGGGAGTTCAGGTGAGCAGGAAAAGAGAAGACTGCACTGCAGCTGGCAGCCTCCGAAGGCAACCCTGAGGTCACTGCAGAGAAAGCAGCAGCATCCCAGGCTCGCTCTGGTGTCCCACTGCAGCAGGCACCCACTGGGCTGCACGGCAGGCCATGTGGCACCTGCACCCAAGCCCCAGACCAGAGCAAACCAGCACACCATTCATGCTCAAATTGAAAAAAGGAGAAAAGAGTGGAAAACTCTCAGTTTAGCCTGCAGAAAGAGCAGAGCGTGGACAAGCCATAGAGGCTCCAGGCTGGGTACTAAGGGAAAGGGTGCATCCATGCAGACACATCACTACAAGGCCTCATTTCTTTCTAAGGGGAAATCAATGACAATCCCGGTTCCCAGGAGAGCCAGCCTCCGGGGTCTGCCTCCAGCCGGCGTGCCACTGACAGGGCTAAGATGGAGAAGCACAGCTGTTAGGGGCTGGCCAGCCCCACCGGCTCACTTTTCCCTTGAGTCTACAATATGAGTCCAGGTTGCAGCTCCAGAGGTGCGGAAGCCAGGGCAGAGGTTTCGGCCGATCCTCCGGCCTTCCGCGCTCCCTACCGGGGAGACAATGCAG